CCCCTACATGATTGCATAATAGAGATACAAGCAAGAATCATTACGCTCTATGAAAATTATAAGTGTTAACGAGGCATTCGTTACTATGATTGCATGAAACTTATGCCAAGAATTCGTTTAACGCGATTGTTTATAAGCAACCTCCACTATTTGTGAATATAAGTTCATAACTATTACGTGAAACTCCCTTATATTCTAGCGTCATATTCATGCATGAAAATTAAGTGTGCACTCTCAATAAACATACATAAATAGGTTATCAATCAAATAGTTAAACAAATTGAATTCACAACTTATGAAACGCAATTAGAAGTAATCAAATCAAAATGCAAGCATAAACATATATTTCAAATCCCCCCCTAGCCAAGGGGGGGTTTAGTTCCTCATGATACAAAACAAAGAGAATCAAAGAAACACCTAAACATTCCAACAACTCAAACTTGAATTGTATGAACGTTTAGGCCCTCTTCTCTTCCATTCCTCATTCGTACAAAACAAAGAGTATTGAACTTAAATATTGAAATCAAAGAAACACCTAAACATTCCAACAACTCAAACTTGAATTGTATCAACGTTTAGGCCCTCTTATTTTCCTCTTCGTTGTAGCACAAGGTCTAAGGATAGTTTGATGGTGTGAATGGTGTGTTTAGGATAGGGATGGATGTAGGGGACTTCAAGGCTTATTTTTGGGCAGAAAATATGAAGAATGGTGAAGTATGGATGTGTTATAAAGAGGGGATGAATTTCTAGCGTGAATGGTGAATGATTGGGAATGAATGCTTATTTATAGGCGAATTGGGGGGGAACATGACAGCTAGGAGGGAATGTGGCTGCATGTTTTGGTGTGGAGAAAGGAATAATCTGAAATGGGAGAGCATGTGGGTGGAAATGCATGTGGGTTAAAGTGGAATGATGATGGGAGATGCATGTGGCTGATTTATGCATGTGATTAAAGGGAGTGCATGTTTGAATGATTAAAGGGACATGTGAGGGTGCAATGATGAAGGAATAATCTGAAAATGCAAGGTGAAATGAAGTGGATTGACAATGGCATGTGGAATGGCTGGAAAGTGTATGAAACTCACGGCAATGATGGTGTTTGTGTGAATGATGGCAGATTGTGTGGGTGAGTGATTAGGTTGGAAATGCATGTGAATGCAAGGTGTGAATGATTATGAGTGCATGTGGGTGAATTAAAGGATGGAATGCATGTGCAATGGTTAAAGGAAAGGTTTAAATGTCCTAGAACTAAAGGGAACAAGGTTCCAACACTTTGGTCTTCAATTAGGTCTTCAATTTCGTCCAACACTTTGGCTCCAAGCATAAGCTATCCATCCTTAGCCCAAAAGTGCTCCAAAAGTCTCCAAAATGCATCTTTTTGCTCCTTTAGCCCTTTGGACCTACAAACACACGAAAATAGCTTAAAGTACTAAAATAACTAAAGAAACATAACGTAAATGCACAAGAACAAGCCATTTAAGTCGCATGAATATGCTCCTATCAGAAGCCCTATTTTCGTGCCATAAGTTTATGCCACATGTAACCCTTCTAGAAGTTCTAGAATCTGCCACAAGGACCATTCCTTGTCCTCCCTGGAATCTGATTGAAAGTGTCATTGTTCTTTGGTGATTTGGAGTCCTAATTCCTCTCATTTTTAGCCCAATTTCGTGCCTTCCCTTCACCCTATAAATACATTATGCCGCAACACTCATAAGCACCACGCTCTACCACAATTTCACACCACACCATCCACCACACCTCAAGAGCCTAAATTCAGAAAATCCCCATTGTGCCGCAGTAAGGAAGGAAGGAGGAGCCGCCTGGAGTGTTTCTAGGTGTATTCTATCTTTGTTTTCAATGTTTCAATTTAATTATCTTTGTTTTGCGAACATAAGGAACTAATTTCTTTATAGTTGGAGGTGAATTCGAAGCCAAGATTATATGTTTTATATGAATTGATTACATCCAGTTATTGTTTATTGAGTCTTGAATGTGATTTGCTTATCTGAGTTATTAAAACTTGTTTATGTATGTTGACTGAGGATCGATACTTGGCTTGCATGCATGAATTTGATGCTAGAATATAAGGGAGTTTCACGTAATAGTTATTCGTTTATATTCACAAGTAGTGGAAGTCACTAGTCATGATTGTGTTAAGTGAATCCTTGGTAGGAATCTCATGCGTTTCATAGTGATGAATGCCTTGTCAATGCTTATGATTTTCATAAAACTTAATGACTTTTGATATGGATCTTTATTATGACGTCAGCGCAGTTGAACAGATGCAAAAATGGTAGAAAACGGGTGGAATTGATTCTGCAAAAGTGATTGAAGACGAGTAGAACTGATTCTGTAAAAATAATCGAGGATGTGTTGACTAATTCTGCAAAAATTGCCAAATACCGATTGAACTGATTTTGCAAAAATGGTTGAAGACGGGTTGAATTGATTCTGCAAAAATAGTCAAAGACTGATTGAACTGATTCTGCAAAAATGGTCGAGGATGGGTTGAACTGATTCTGCATAAATTGTCGATGACTAATTAAACTGATTCTGCAAAAATGGTCGAAGACAGGTTGAATTGATACTACAAAAATAGTCGAGGATGGGTTGAATTGATCTGCAAAAATGTTTGGGACGGGTGGAAATGATTCTACAAAAATTGCCAAGGACGAGTGAAACTAATTCTGTAGAAATAGTCGATGATGGATTGAGCTTATTGCACATATTTATCTTGTTGGAGTTGTGAAGGCTAGGTTCTATTAACAGCTCTAAAGCCTTAGGGATATGACTGATATTTTAAAACATTGTTTATATAAGTTTTTGGGTTGGGCTTTAGTTATTTTTATATTTTTGTCTTTCTTTGACATATTTAAAAACTAGTAGAGTTTCTTAAAATATAGTGAAATTTTTTGTCTATATATATAAAGCTCCCTTCAAAAAAATTAAATTAAAAAAATCATGTAAGATGTTTTTATTTTTTAATTTTTATCTAGATTTTGTTAGTAAGTTAATTATTTTTTAAAATATAATAATAAAGCATAATAATATCTCAAATAAATAAAATTAAAACAAAAAACAAAAAAGTAAAATAATATAAAAGAACCATATAATGAAGGGTTGATCTTCCCAATTCCCAACTACATAAAAGTTTTAGCTTATTTCAAAATATACCCCTAATGTTTGGGGTCAATTACAAAAGCACTCCACTTTTCAATTTACTACTTATGATTCACAAAAAAAAAATAATAATAATAATAATAAAAAATAAAACTTAAGGTTGTAAAAATTTTGGGGAATTTGCATAAGTACCACTTGAACTTACAAGCATATGCTTCAATACCGCCTAAAATTTCAATTTTCATTTTTACCACTTGGATTCTCCTAACCGTTGGAATTTACCATCTACGTTACTTTCCATCCATTGTACCGGTAAAACATGTCATTTGCCCCTCACGTGGAGGGATATTTTCGTCAATTCACTTTCTATGGCTCGCTGAAATCAATTTGGACAAAGACAAAGGGCATTTTTTTGGTAGCAGTGTTGGAGTCAGTTCATGAAAAGAAAGGGAGAAGTTGATTTTGAGTTCGATTTTGGTAAGGATTGTTAAAGAATTGAAGTTAAAGTTATGCAAAAATCTAGTTGTTTATTTACAGTAATTTTCCATCCATTGTACCAATAAAACATGTCATTCGCCCTTCACGTGGAGGGATATTTTTGTCAATTCACTTCCTATGGCTCGCTGAAATCAATTTGGACAAAGACAAAAGACAATTTTTTGGTATCGGCGTTGGAGTCAAGTCATGAAAAGAAAGGGAGAAGTTGATTTTGTGTTTGATTTTGGCAAGGGTTGTTAAAGAACTGAAGTTAAAGTTATGCAAAAATCTAGTCGTTTATTTACAGTGATTTTTCATCAATTGTACTGATAAAACATGTCATTCGCCCCACACGTGGAGGGATATTTTCGTCACTTCACTTCCTATGGCTCGTTGAAATCAATTTGAACAAAGACAAAAGGCATTTTTTTGGTAGCGGCGTTGGAGTCAGGTGATGAAAAGAAAGGGAGAAATTGATTTTGAGTTTGATTTTGACAAGGGTTGTTAAAGAATTGAAGTTAAAGTTATGCAAAAATCTAGTCGTTTATTTACAGTGATTTTCAAGATTTATTTTTGTAATTAGCAAGTGCGTGTGTGGTGCACCTTAATTTATTTATATATTAACTTTCAAACTTTTATGGGGGAATTGCCATATTAGGGCTATAAATCTCAAATTTTGGTGCCATATTAAATCATGCAATATTACTTTGGAACCAATTTGATTCTAGTCTACCCAATGAAGTTAATTGACGAAAATATCTTTACAAGTGACATGTTTTAAAGGAAAACTAATGAAAATAGCTTAAAAATTTTGAGTTTTAACGATAAGGACAAAATAAAGGGTAAAGTGAATAGTACCAAGGATTGACTTTTTAGTATAAAAATGTGATTTTTCGTTCAAGTGAACAGTACCGGAAGTTTTTCGTTAAAGTTCCCATGTTTTAAGGGCAATATAAATAAATAAATAAATAATATATATATATATATATATATATATATATATATATATATAACACAATGTTGGTGATGCATTCCAACAACTAAGAGAGGCCATGTGGTAAAAATTAAAAATTGAAAGTTCAAGATGTATTATCGCACATGCTTATAAGTTAAGTTGGTACTTCTACAAATAACCCTAAACTTTTCAATTTACTACTCGGTATTGAGAGACTTTTTCATGTACTGCATTGTAGATCCTGTGTTATAATATAAATAGAGAATAAATATATAGTTTAGTATAATTTTATATGTATTATGACACGTAATATACATGTATGGACTAATGTTTCGAATACATTAAAAAAAATCTTTCGTACGATATTATTACTGATTGGTTCAAATCTGTTCATGTGGAACAGAACAGACCAGAACAAAATAAGAGAGGATATAAAGGTTCCATACGTTAACGTGTCATCGACCAAACGGTTAATCTACTTCCATCCGTCGTTTTTCACTCCCCGTCTTGTTCGTGCTCTCAATGCCTTGCCAACATCATAAGATTTTCCAAAACCAACAACACGAACCCGACGAATTATCTCAAAAACAATTTCCGGGTTTTTCATTTCAGTCCAAAATCTCAGATGGGTCGTCGGCAGAGCGACTCAGAACTCGGCCGTCTCGCACTTCTGGCCCTTTTCCTGATGGGCGCAATCTTCTGCTGCATGGTGTACCTGTTCCTCGCTGTGGCCTCAAAACCGAGCGGCATAACATCAGCTGATTCGGTTTCGGAATTCGGAGACGTTGGATGGAGGAGTGGAGAAGAAGATGGAGAATGCTGCAGAGGGATTGAGAATTTGGAGCTCTGGGGTGATGCTGTGAAATGGGGTTCTGAGTTTAAGGTGAATTCTTCTAAAGAGTGCTGCATGGCTTGTAAGGATATGTGTGGGGATCGAGATGAGCATTGTTTGTGTGACAGTTGGGTGTTTTGTGGGGATAGAGAGGCTTGTGGACTTAGACATGGTGAGGTATGGTTTCTCTCCGTTTCATCAAATCTGCTCTCTATTATTTAACATTTATTTTTGGGTAAATTCATTTTAATCGAGCGGTATTCTAATTTAATCTAAACTACGGAGGAGGGGAATTACACTAGAGCGTGTAGCCAACTTGTTTATGCCCATGTATGCGTAAATTCCCATGATGGTTTGGTTTATTTATTCTAAGGAAGCTTTGGAGATAATGTAGATGCAAACTCGTAGCGTGGTTGTGTAGTTTTCATATAGTGTACAAGAATTTATTGAACTCGTATAAGATAGGAGTTTCGGTGTGGACGATTGTGAATAGTTAGCAAGTTTTGAGATTGTGTGTAGTCCATTTTCTGGTGCTTGCAACTTTTAGGGCGACTATTCAGTCTATTCTACCATAATCTTCTTATTTATTCTTAAAAATTCATGGCAATTCTGGCTCGAGACGGATTGTGTTACTGGAAGAGTGAGATGTGGATATCTATCAACATGAACGAGAGCATTATCGAAATTAGCATCTTGCACATCAATATGACTTTTGGTTGTTACATTCTTGATAAATCCTTTGGTTGAATTAACTGGTTTGGGTTCTAAGCTGCCTATCTTCTTCATGCTTGCAGTGTTGGTTAAAGAAACAGAAGGATACCTTGGACCCTGATCGGAAAGACTCAGGTGATCTGATTGCATGGACTTCTGGACTTGTCTTTGGAAAAGGAGAGGTAAATAATTACTGTTTGTCATAATACTTTTCTTTGGTTGTAATTCTACTACTAATTATGTTGTCAAGTTGTGGTAAGTGTTTACTCATGCGCCCGAGGGTTCCATTTATGTGTTTCGTTGCTGATATATGAACATTTCTTCTTTGGGACAAAACGATTCACAAGCATTTTCAGATCAGAGTAACTAAGATTGTAGTTACTAGGTTTAGTTTTACCAAAAGCAGTTTGGCTTATATTTATTTCACTTTTTTTATTGGAGATTACTACACTTTGAATCAGTGAACATCTGTATTACTGTTTGATTAGTTCACATTAGCAGGGGTAGGCCAACAAAACCGACCTAGTTTTATCTGAAACCTGGCTTCGAGAGTGGCTTCCGTTTGATGCTTTTAGCCAACTGTAATTATATTTGGGAGAAGGCTTAGTTGACTTGAGTTGGTTAGCTGAGGTCGTTAAAATTAGAAGACATTTCTAGTATTTGTAGGAGGGGATGTAAGAAATTGGCATTTGTGGTTTTTTCTGAGTTTCAAAGAGGAGTGCATAACGTGAAAGATCGATGTGTAATAATTAGTAGCAGCAGATTTTTTCGTATATTATATGAGCAGTTGTAAGGAAGTTAGACTAAAAGTTATTTCTGTTTTCTGTGTCTGTTCACATAACATGGCTTGTATCTACCCTTCGATTTCCACAGGGTATTGTCGGCTTGGAAACAGAGTATGGGACTCTTCATATAAAGGTTAATTCTTCCTCCTCAGGAGTAGATGCGTAATCTAGGATCTCTTAAAACCCTAAGCTAAATCTTATTCAGTTAAGTTATGCTGACACTGTAGTGATCGAAAGTTTAGACTGCATATTTGTTCACAATGTGCTGTTTAGCTTCATGAATTTGAAACTCTAGCGGCTATTGATGCTGCTCGTTATAAGCTTTAACATGATTATGAGCTGGCTCATTATAAGCTTTAACAAAATTACTATTTCTCGTGTGAAAATAAGGATTCGTACTAGTATCTGAATGTTGATAAAACGAAAACACTGTTTCATTTGAAAACAAAAATGTTAACTGATCGATACTTGCTAGGTTTAGGGGTATTCTTCATTGTTCTCCGTCAACCTCCTTCACAATCGACGCGATTTCTTTTCTTATAAGTTGTTATGTTCATGTAATCTTCTTAAACTAAACTGTATGATTACCGCATCTAAACTTTCGTTCGGTCTTAAATTTATGCAGCTCCGTCCTGATTGTGCCCCTCATTCTGTTGCCTACATTCTTGAGCTGTTGCAAGTGCCCCATTATGCAGGCTGCCAATTTTATCGTGCAGAAAAGCGGGGAAGCTTTTGGGACTCACAAGGAAACCACGTAAAAAATGTAAGTTTCGGACTCAGAAGTTGTAACTTTTCAGCGTTGTCTGAGTTTGAGCTTTGCTTGTTATGAGTGCCCGTCATTCCAATCTTGTAGCATATATCCGCGTTTTACATAGTTGCTCGCGTATACCTGTTTTTGGTATTTATTTCTCATTCAGAAGTTTCTCATGTAAGCTATATAGGCTCCGTTTGGCCCGCCTTTCGCGCTAATACAAGGAACGCTCGCAGCGCACGGGTTCGTATTTAAGGAGATTCCAGCAGAGGTGTCTCGCACCATCAGAAGAGGATCGGTTGCCTGGATTGGTTCCGGTCCAGAATTCTTCATCAGCCTAGCCAACCATTTTGAGTGGAAAAAAGCTTACACTGTTTTTGGTTCCGTTCTTCCTGAAGACATGGAAATCGCCGAGAAACTTGCCCAGCTTCCGACCAAACAAGAGGTCTGGAGCAACATCAATGTCTCCGTCTTGGAGAGTCCTGTCGCTTTATGGTTCCGAAGAATCAAGCCGGAATCATGATGTTGCAAGGTTCGCCGGAATAATGACATTGCCAGGTTCGATGCCTACATAAACACGCATCGTGCTCAGTGTGGTGCTGCTTTTCTTGGGCTTTCTACTTAAAACATGTCGGCGAAGAAAATGCAAGTTTCTAGTTGTTCGTCCTTACTAGTTAGATTTGTTGCCTATTCAATTTGTAGATAAAGAGAGTTCCCAGAAATTGATTCTCTAATTTTGACCGTTATAGTCCTCGCGCGAGCATGTTTGGTATTCTTCTTGAATTCATTTTTGTTTTCGAAACTAACGAGTTCTAAGTAAATTAGTTATGGCCAGAAAGCATGAAGATGTAGTGACGACGAGTATGCCAACTAGAAAAATAAAACGCATACTACTAACCGGTATCATTCCAGGAATCATATTTATCGAGCAGTACGATACACTACCAAGCAAAGCATAATGCAGACACATATCTAAGCTTTGTGTTTTATGATACCAAGCAAACTGCATCGCGTAATCGCTACTCGGTTTCTCCAATCATACCATGCTTGTGTTGCTAGATTCAGAATCTGCTAGACCGTCAGACAAAGAGAACATTTTTCTCGAATATATAGATTCCACTACACGAGACTACAAGCTAATCTACATAGTTTCCGCTACGCGACTAAGCTACAATCTTCTACTAGTACCAAGCTAACGTGATCAAGTTCCACATTCCCTCAACACTCTGAAAACAAAAGGAAATTGTAAAAAGTGGCTCGTAAACGAGAGTTAAACACGAAATTACAACTAATTAAACTCACATTACTTAGTCCCTCTATGATCCAAGAGCACCACCGGCTGCTATCTTCCAATGCAATCCCACCATCTATGCCTCAGGGGATGGCATTCTCTTGGCCTTCTTCTTCTTCTCTGAAACCGCCTTTGCAAAAGCCTCCACAATTCTTTGCTGAGAGTCCAAAATCATTTCCGTCCGCTTCATCTCCATCTCCATCCGCATTGCCTCGATCTCCCTCGCCATCTCCATCTTCATCTGCTCCATCCTCACAAACCCATCTCCCAAAAGCTTAATCGCTGACACCATCTCCGCCACGGGGTCTCTCTCCCCCCCATCCCTTTCTCTCTTCCCCAATCCAGGCCTCCCCGAATTCCCACTCTCTCTCATCACCTTAGCACTCCCATAAACTGACCCCGAATTCAACCCTGGATTCGAATTCATTCCGAATTTCTGATCCATCTTCGGATACACCTTGGTCCCAGGCTGAGCTATACTAACCCCAGTTGGAATCCTAATCCTAAACCCACTTCCGGCACCAGCACCGCCACCACTTCCGCCACCAACCCCAACTCCATTCCTATACAACTTACTCATACTCTTCATATTCGACCCGTATCTCAGCTCCTCATAGAGCTCCTGATCCGGATCCTCCTCCTCTTCGTTCTCCTCGTTCTCTTCCTCTTCACCGGGACTTTCGGAATTTTCCCTCTTCCCAGCTGCCGGCCCCTTCTCCATGGCGTCCATCCGCTTGAAGTGGACCCACGACGACGTGAATCTGGACAACGGCATCGACCTGGCTCGCTGGATCTCAGTCCGGTACCGCTTCCGCAGCTTCTCCATCTTGTGACGGCACTGAACGGCGGTCTTCGCGGGAGAAGCAGCGGGGCATCGTCGAGCGACGGCGTCGGCCACGTCCTGCCAGTGGGTGGCTTTGAGGTTTCCACGGCGGAGGGAGTACCACTTTTCGCGGTAGGAGTCAATGAGGGCAACGGTCTCGTCGTGGGACCAGCAGGGAGGAGGGAGGCGGCGGGAGGAAGGCGGGGTTGGGTTCGGCTGTGTTTGCTGGGATAGGGTCAGCGGTGGGGCCGGGAGAGCAAGCGGCACGGCCTGCGGTGGGTCCGATTGGAGAGGGAGGATGGAGTCGTCCTGCGGGGAAGACGGTGGAGAAGCCATGGATATTGTTTTGTTTAGGGTGGGATCTGGGGATGTAGGATAAGGGGGCGGCACAGGATAGAAGGAGGGAGGAGGGGAAGGAGGAAAAAGGGAAGGGGGAGGAGGGAGGAGGAGAAAGTGGTGTTTGGAAGCATGCTTGTGGCTGTGGGTAGGGTGTTTAAGAGGGTGGGTGGAGGGGTGTGCGGCTGATTTCGAGATCTAAAGGTGGGCGTGTGAGATGAGCGGTGGATGAGGCCACCGCTTAGGTGTGGGGTGAGGTGGACTAACGTGCGCCAGCGGTGGTAGGGTGGTAGGGTGGGGGTTGGGTTAAGTTAACCTACGCGCACCACCCCAATAGAGAGAGAGAGAGGTGGGAGAAGGTGGGGACAGGTCCACCTGAGTCTGACTTTGCCCATTATCTTGTCATTCTTCGATCATCGTCATCATTTGAATTTTGTAATTGGGAAACTAGTGGGGTTGGTGTGACGGTGGGCGGGTGGTGATTGGGTGGACATTTTTGTATAGTGGGCCTTTGGGTTGTGGTGGGTTTAGGGTTGTGGCCTTTGCGGGTTTAGGGGCGGTGGGAGAGCGTGAGGGGGACGGAGGTGGGGGAACAAGAGCTGGTGCTGTGGTGGTACTAAATAGCAATAGGATTAGGGAGTGAAAGCTTGGTTCTAATGGGGCATGTGAGAGCATTTTGCGGGGACTTTGGTTGGTGCCTTCAACAAATTGGAGGGGGTAAGTTCTTTTATATCACGTGGATAACACGTGTGGAGCTAAAATAGGGGGGCAAACTTGTGATTAAACATGAATAAAGTTCACATTGAAATTGAAAATACTATTGTTGCCCAAAAAAACGCGGAATTACCATTGACAACCCAACAATTGAATCACATTTCAAAAAAACACCCCTCTCATTTTCAAAGACAATGGTGAGAAGGCTTCTACCCTGCATTTATTATTATTATTATTACTGTTATTTTTGTTGTTGTTGTTGCCATCGCTGTTTCATATAGAATTGAATTGAATTCTATATAACTAAAAATAGTTGTGCAAGAATTTTTATGAAGCAAGCAAGAATTTCCAGAAAACTTGCAGATAGAGTTCGTTGCTCTTTGTGCAGTGGATTGTGTTGAATCATCACTCATTCACACAAGAAGTGTGAAGGAATACACGAAGAGAATCTAGCCGTTAGGCTTCACACGGTTCACACAATACCTTGGCTCTTTCTACTGCAATCTTCATAAGTATATTACTCTCTCCCAAGTTCCCTTTCCATTTTGAGGTATAGGTAGCCACTTTTTCTACGATTGTGACTTGGCTCTGCAGTGTTTGCTGCTGTTATCGCTTTCTAAATTTATGGGTCTTTTTTTATACAAGCGGCAAACATAAATGGGTGTTGTAGGAATGATCGGATAGATGAACATGATCATATACAATTAGTTGTAGATAAATCAAATATCGTGATTTTTTAGGTGGATGGCGGTCTAAACCTATGTGATGTCCATGTCGCAATGTTTTGTGTTGTCAATGTATACAGCATGTGCAATTTATGTATTGCTAGTAGAGGATACAAACTTAGGTGTTCTTCACATCACTTCTATTTATGTGTCTCTCATTTCTTGTGACTTGTTATTGTTTCTCTGTTCATATGTACAAATTATGTGGAGAGAGAGAGAGAGAGAGAGAGAAGTGAGAAAATTCTTCAATGACACGTAGTATTGAATAATATTAAATGGCTAGGATTAAAAATAAAAAATCTAATAATTGTGATTGAGTTTGACGATTAAAACACTCGTGTTGAAAGAACTTGCCCCACTAACCTGGACAGAAGGAATACTGCACGTGGGTACAATATTCCTTGTCAGCAGACTACCACATGGTTTCAGCTCCTGTGCTCTGATGTGTTGCAGCATGGGCAGCAAGCACGCCACCTTTACAGAAGGAATACTGCACATGGGCAACAAGCACGCCACCTTTACAACATTTGTTTATTGCATGCAATTGTTTAAATGCATGCGTGTGTGTAAGATGTATATAATACAACCAACTGCCATTACAGCAGTAAATCAATAACACAACCAAATATTAAACTTAATATGGTATCAGAGCTCAGGCAATCCTTTGCTCTGCTCTGCCTTCACTCTTCCGCTGCTAGACTGTGAACAGCGACATCTGTTACTGTAGCAACCAGTGCACTGCAAGCTGCACACTCGCTGCCTTTAAGCACAGCCGCTGAGCACAGCCAAGCACAGCCACTGCACACTGCCTGCCGACATGGCAACTGACTCTTCCAGCAAACACACCAAATACGAAGATCCCAGCGATCTTCTTTATCTTCATCACTCTGATCAGCCTGGAGCGATCCTCGTCACACACCCTTTGAATGACGAAAATTACTCCACTTGGAGCCGAGCCATGGCCATGGCCCTCAATGCCAAGAACAAGGAAGGATTCATCAATGGATCCATTAAAAGGCCCGAGTCTGCATCCACAAGTGAATTCCAACAGTGGACTTGTTGCAACAACCTCGTGAAAGCCTGGCTGCTCAACTCTGTCTCGAAAGATATCGGAGCAAGTGTCATCTACAACAATGTTGCAGCTGATATTTGGAATGAGTTGAAGGAACGTTTCTCTCTCACACAAACAGTGTACATCTCTTCCATATTGAACAAGAGATACATGGAAGTGTTCAAGGAAATTTGAACATTGGTGCATATTATACCAAACTGAAAAGTTTTTGGGATGAACGTGATGCCATGTGCACTCTCCCAACCTGTACATGTGGAGCTGCAAAAGAATTAATGCAGTTTCAGCAAAGTCAGAAAACCATGAAGTTTCTCATGGGCCTCAATGAATCCTACGCTGCGGTTCGTGGGCAACTTTTACTTATGGATCCCCTCCCTGTTGTCAACAAAGCTTTCTCACTTATTATTCAAGATTAGGGGTGGGCATAAAAACCGCCAAACCGCAAAACCGCATCGAACCGTAAGAAAAAAAACCGAAAAAAACCGTGTTGACCGAAAAAGTCAACTTTGAGTGAAAAACCGAACCGAACCGTTCAAACCGGTTTCGGTTCCGATTTCGAAGGACCAAGAACCGTTCGAACCGAACCGAACCGTTTTATTAATAAAAAATAAATAAATTATATATACACACACATGTCGTGGTATAATAAGTTGAAAAAAATTGGTTTCACTAAATTGCAAAACAGAGGATCCTATCCCAATTAGGGTTCATTTTCACTTACACACACACGGAGACACCTCCTTCACGCCTTCACGGCTTCACGCTGCACGCACGCTGCTCACACGGAGACACCTTCACACCTTCACGCCTTCACCGCTTCATGGCTTCACGCTTCGACCTCTCTCCTCGCCCTCGGGTACTCCCTTTTTTTGTTATTGTTTCAACTTTCAGCCATTGTTCAAAGTTTCAATTTTTGAATTTTGGGTTTTGGAATAGCTCATTAAATTGAATTCTTGATTAACTTGAATTTCAGGTTCCACAAACATTGTTGTTCGAATTTCAGGTTCCACAGCAGCGCAATCAGTAAAGCTAAAGGTAATTTTTCTGGGTTTTTCGAATTGTTTTGTTGTAAGAAAACTTATCAAACATTTATGCAAGTTAATATTCTCATGAAATTTTTCCTCTCAATATTAAACTGTTGTTGCGTAGGGGCAGAGGCATTTAAACTGTTGTTAATTTATTTTCTCATGAAATGGTGAGTGTTCCTAAGTGTACTCAGTAAAAGAGTGAAGTTGGTGTAGGGTTCTTCCTTGCTGTCATCGTCTCACGTTTCAACTCCAAAACTTTTTGTGAAGAAACCTGTGTTGAGATTCATGTTTGGATTTAATATTTAGATGAACTTAATTACAATGCCTGACACTTCAATTTATGATTTTTGCGAAGAGGCATTTAATTGCAACAGTGTTTTAATTTTTAGTACCATTTTCTGGAATCACCATTATTGTGATCATAGTACCCTGTTTGTCTTACCTTTGCTTTTCCCTCTCCTTCACATGTCTATGATCATCCCAGATGGTTCTTTTTTCTGTTCTTACTATAGTAGTTTGTACTGTGAGAAGATTTAAGGCTAGTGTTTTACTTATTTAGTAGTTACTGTGAAATTGGTCCCAATTTCTTGAAAGTTGGTAATAAAATTTAACATGAAGCCTTCTCTGCTGCTGATTCAAAGTTTGTAGTAAAGTATTTTTGATAGGAGGGCAAGCCTTTTATATTGTTCTCAACGGTAGCTTCAGAATCTGCCTTTAGCACGGGAGGAAGGATTGTGAACTCATATCGTTCTTCATTGACTCCTCTAATGAAAGTGAACTGCTATTTCAAGCCGTGATTACAGTTACAATGATTTTGGATTTTGTAGTAGGAGCAGTCGTGGAGGGAACAGAAATGGTCGTGGCAAACCACGTGGGAGTGGCAACGGCAGTGGTCGTGGACGCGGGCGTGGTCGTGGTGGAGAAGGGAGGAAGAAGCCTGTGGAGAAGTCGGTTGATGAACTCGACAAGGAACTCGATAGCTATCACGCAGATAACATGTAGGGTTAGTTCAAAACTGGAGCTGTGGAACTTTGCTTGCTGGTATCAGTCAGTGTTTGAGCTAATTTCTGCTTGGATATAGACTAATTTCTGCTGTGGAACTCGATAGCTATCACGCAGATAACTCGGTAGCTGTACAAAATATGACGGTTGTGATTTTTGGGATATAGACTAATTTCTGCTTGGATGTTAATGTGGATCAAACTAGATATGGTTCAAATAATTTATTATTAGGAACCGTAAACCGGCAAGAACCAGATCGGAACCGGTGTAGACCGAACCGTAAGGTTCTAGTAATAAATTTAAGTGGAACCGCACCGAATCGAACCGTTAATATATTTTGGTTCCGGTTTTAGTTTAGGGGTGGAACCGCACCGAACCGCACCGTGCCCACCCCTATTCAAGATGAGAAGCAAAGAACAGTTTCAATACATGCTCCTGGAAGGTCCTCAGTCACCGATACCGCAGCTTTCGCCGTGCGGGATAACATGCGAAACTCTGGTAGGAATTTTTCTCCAAGAAATTCCCATCTAAAATGTGGTCGTTGTGATGCAACTGGACACACTTCAGATACCTGTCGTGCACACCTCAAGTGCGACTACTGTAATTGGAGAGGTCACACCATTGATCAATGCCGCAAACTGAAAAAGGCGAAAGATAACATCAATAGGGGAGATTATCAGGATCGCAGGGGTTCCAATTCCAAGGCTAATCATGTTGATACCCAGCCAACGCCTCCAGCAACATCTCCTTCGTCCTACAGCCTCACTTCCGAGCAATATCACAATCTGCTTGCACTCTTTGATAAGAGTCAATCCAACTCCACATCTAATCATGTCGGTACCACCTCTACTATGAATAACTTGTCAGGTAGAG